CACACTGTTTAGCTCGTCCGGACGCTCCACTCTTCTTCATTTTTCTTGTTTCATTCTCGTCCAAACCCCTTTTTAACTATTTTTGGAAGCCTTTTTCCACTTTGGAAACACCGATGCACGCAATTTCTTCACCTCAGTCGTACTAGTTTCGATCTTGGCTTCCATTTTTCATCATAATCTGGATTACCCAAAGTTATCGTGAACCGTACCTTTAAAACCAGTCTATCTTGAGGTTCTATGGACTATTACAATGATCGATTCCCCTATTGCAGCTATTTTAAGAATATGCTTAACTTATGTTGGTGACATCACCAGGACAGCTCAACAGATCTACCCATACGTCAGTAGGAGAATGCTTAAGATCATAGCCTTTCAGGCATGTATATGAAGCAAGGAATTAGCCCGACACTAGTCTTTCCTGTCCTTCAGCTTCTTGTTGGCGCTATGTGTTTATCCGAAGAAGGCAGAATGTCCTTAATAAAGGTTCGTATCAAAAGTATTGACTGGTACACTTTCAATCAAGTATTTCTTTCCAGAGCCTTCGAGGAGTCGATCTTGAGCTACGTCACGAGAGACTAAAAAAACTCAAAGTAGTTTCATTGGAACAGAAAGCTTCCATGGTGGACGCCCCACTGCAAATCGCTGAATATGTTTGACCGTTTCCCTCAATGAAATCACAGATCAGTTCAATAAGAGCGCCACATATTCCATCTGTTTGAGGGTACACCTGACGACATCGTGGAACCGTTTCCTGAAGGAGGATCGATTGTGAAAATAAACCAGAACCAAGGAGTTGACCGATACTTATACGAAGGCGATATCAACCTCACCGAGTACGTTCACTTTGTCAACCTACCATCGACGTCGAATTCCTCTTCCACGAATCCCGCCCTTCCTCATCTTCAAGCAGATTGGGTCGGCTGATATTCTCAGCTTGAACTAGCCCGCCACAGAAAACTATAATAAATTTCTCTGAAGTCATGCTCAAGTAAAAATTTATACAAAGTAAAAGATAAAGTTTTTGGCGTTACCCAGTCTCGGACGGGACTCGAACCCGTACCCGTATCCGGAAAGGACAAGTACGGGTTCGAGTCCCGTCCGAGACTGGAGTTTTTGGCGTTAATCAATCCCGTCTGAGAGATGCGCCCCCGCACTCGACTTGCTTTCAGAATCGTAGTGGCGTAATGAGTGCGTATGTGGCCTATACAATGT